TCTCTCTCTCTCTCTCTCTCTCTCTCTCTCTCTCTCTCAGTCCGGTACTAACCTGTGAAGTTGGCGCGTTGATGCAGGTACCTCGAAGATGGAGCTGGAGCTATGGCACCACAGGTAAGTCCCACTGGCCTCCGCCAGTCATCTCTCCTAACTCTACTACTACCACCTACTAGCGCCCAACACTGAAGACTACTGCTATGGCTACTAGCCCCCAACGCTGAAGACTACTGCTAGCGGTAAGCTACTCCCTGCAGCGCTCCTCCTGAGTGTTGCGGCCAAATCCTGAAGACTACTCCTGCCTACTGCCCAATTACCTACCCGTGAAGTGCATGGGAACTCCCTATGTACTTCTCGGCCTGCCTCCTGACGGCAGGGCGAGGCAGTCCAGGAGGCTGCTCTTGCCAATGCTGCAGGGAGTCAGGGGCTGCCGCTGCAGCTCCTGTTTGAGGCTGTCGTGGGAACAGGCTAAAGATAGCCTGTTCCCGAAACCCTGGTTTTGTGCCTGAGTATTAGGGTAGGTCGATCTTATGAGGGCCCGAAAGTGGCCCTCCGTTTCAGGCTAAAAAGCCCTGTTTTAGGCTGAAAACGAGATAGGGCTTGCAGGCCCTCGTTTTCAGTTTTTAGGCTGAAACGACAGGGGCCTGTAAGCCCTTATTTCTAGGCTTTTAGGCTGAGAATGCAGGATGGGCCCTGCAGGCCCGTGTGGCTACGCAGTATGCCACACCCCCCCCTCCTTGAAAGACCGAGCTTACCTGCGAGGGTGAAGCTGTCTGTCTGAGGGAGGGACCACAGTCCGGGTGGGAGGGGCAGGTCGTGAAGCTCCCTGAGCTAACCTTTGTCGCTCGTAGTGAGCGTAGATCTGCGGTGCGGATGCTTTCAAATCTGTTCCTGAAATCCACCGAGTGTCGTCGGGATCGCATGCTCTGAATGTAACTTTGTACTGGCGAGGCTTGCTGCCGTACTTGCGATCCGTGATGRCGCGGTCAACTTCCTGATGACCATCCATAGATGGAGGGTCCTGCAATCGTTGGCCTGGGAAGTCATCGCTCTTAGCTGGTGTATATGTTGCCAGCTTCGAGGCGTGAAAGACTGGATGGACCGTCAGATGCGCAGGGATGTTGATCACAAATGAAGGGTCATTGGGCTCATCGCCTGTGCCTGATGTTACGGGCCATGGTCCAAACCACTTGGGAAGCAGTTTGCGTGAAACATCCTGTTCTAGTGCAAACTCTTCCGTGGATACCCAAACCAGATCACCGGCGCGGATGGGACATGGCACGCGACGCCTGTTGGCTTGCTGCTGCATGCGGACTTGAGCCTTTTGCATATTCGCGCGGGCTTGAGCCAGCAATTCCCTGTACTTCCAGACGGAAGCGGGAGAGCAAGCGGCGTCGATATCGGCTGGTCGTGGGAGGAGAAGGTCGGCGAAGATACAACCTTTCCGTCCACCGTGGTGCAACTCAAATGGAGTCACGCCAATCGCCGGGTGCACCGAAGTGTTGTAGGCGAACTCGATGTCGGGGAGGCGGTCAACCCAATCTTTCTGGTCCGGACGGATGAGCGTACGAAGCATCATTTGAGTGGTTTGATGTGTTTGCTCGTCCGTCTGTGGATGTCGAGCCGAACTTGGTTTCATCTTCGTATCGAACTCCTGCATGAGAGCAGTCCAAAATGCCGACATGAAGCGAGTGTCGCGGCCGCTGACTATGTCTTCCGGAACACCGTGGCCACAAATCCAACAGGTGTGCAAGAGGTGTGCCAGCTCGGGAGTCGTGGAGTAGTACTTGCAAGGGAGAAAACGCGCATATTTACTCAAACGGCCCACAACCGTGAGGATGTCGTCGTGCCCGAGGCAATCGCAGGGAAATGGTCCGGTGACATCCATGGCAATGGAGAGGCCGGGTTCCTGTGGGATAGGCATCGGGCGCAACTCGCCGTAGGGATTGCGATTGCGGGGCTTGCTTCGTCGGCAAACTTCGCAAGAGTCGCAATACGGAGTGACATCGGTAATGAGGTCGGGTCATCGGAATCGTTGTCGAAGTCGTGCAATAGTGCGGTTGACTCCGAAATGGCCGGTGAGTAGCGAGTCATGGTACTCCCCGAGAAGGCGAGTCCGAAGACGACGGTCTCGTGGGACACACAATAAGTCCTTGCCTCTCGAGTGGAGGAGCAAGTACCCGTTGGCAATGCGATAGTGGGTGGCCGGCGGGTGATCCGAAGATAGCTGCACATACAACATGGTGAAGTCCGGATCAGACTCATAGCCCCGGATGAAGTGTCGCTGAAGTTCTTCGTCGAATGCGAAGGCATGATGTTTCATGGCGCAAAGATCCAGTCTTCGCGAGAGTGCATTTGCTGCGCGATTGGAGAGGCCGGGGAGATGTTTCGGTGTGAAGTCAAATTGGTCAATGAAGTACATCCATCGTCCGATCGTGCTGCTCACAGTATTCTACGTCTTGTAGTAGGTCAGTGGGCTGTTGTCCGTAACCCATGTGAACCTACGACGCCCAAGGAGGAAGTGCCGCCATCGCTTGAGAATCATCACGAACGCGAGCAGCTCCTTCTTCCTTGCGTCATCAAGCGAGTTGATGGGAGGCACTTTGTGGCTGAAATACTCCACAGGGTGCCAGTCGTCGTCATCGTGTTGTTCCAAGACTGCCCCAATGCCATAGCCGGAAGCGTCAGTTGTCACTCTCGTAGGCAGGGTGGGGTAATAGATGCTAAGGACGGGTGCCATGAGCATGGTCGTCTTAAGTGCTTGGAATGACCAGCGTGCGTCGTCATCGAATACGAATGGCACCTTTGGCGATTGTAATCTCGTCATAGGTGCAGCAATCCTTGAGTACCCGGTGATGAATCGCTGATAGTAACCCGCCAACCCCATGAATAAACGAACGTTCGTGGTGTTGGTGGGCTCGGGCCATACGCGGAGGGTCTCGATCTTGTCCGCAAGCGGACGGATGCCTTGCGGCGTCACAAAATGTCCCAAGTACTCCAGCTCCTGCCGCGCGAATTCGCATTTGTCGCGGTTGGGTTTGTACTTGGCTTGTCGTAGCCGCTCCAAAACGGTGCGCAGGTGTTCCACATGCTCGTCCAAACTCCGGCTGTACACCAGGATGTCGTCGAGGTAGATAAGTACGAATCAATCCAGCATGTGTCGGAACTCCGTTGTCATAGCCGCTTGGAAAGTGGTCGGGGCATTCGTAAGGCCAAATGGCATAACCAACCATTCGAAATGCCCATATCGCGTTTTAAACGCAGTCTTGTAGCGGTCCTCCTGCCGAATTTCGAGTTGGTGATATCCCGACTTGAGGTCAAGCTTGGAGAAGAACTTGGCGCCGCCCAGTCATTCGAGAAGGTCGTCGATGTGTGGAAGAGGGCCGATGTTTCTGATCGTTTGCGCATTGAGCTTGCGATAATCGATGCACAACCACAAATCCTTGTTCTTCTTCCGGACGAAGAGAACATGAGCACCGTATGGCGATGAGCTAGGCCGAATCCAGCCTTTCTCTAGAAGGTCGTCGAGTTGTGCCCGTAGCACACTTAACTCTTCCTCGCTCATTCGGTAGATGGAACCGCGCGGAGGTACGGCCCCATCCTCGAGGATGATCTCGTGGCGGATGGGCCGATCCGGTACTACTCCATGCGGGCCTTCGAACACGTCGCCGTAGGTGTCGAGAAGCTCGGTGATGCGTGGGTCCGAAGATGAGTCCGTCGATGAAGCGTCATGGGGCGGGAGGGCGTGGAGAAAACACACACCCATCTCCTCAATCTCGTCTCTGATGATGGAAGCTCGCAAGCTTGCGGCGGACACCACGTGGCAGCTGATCGAAGGGTGAGGAGGAGCTACCTTGCATGGGACTAGTACTCCGTTTCGATCACAGACGTGAACGGTGCGGCGGTAGAAGTTCACCGGGTGATCCTCGCTTCGCAGTCATGACATGCCCAAGATCATGTCGAATTTGGTATCCAAAATATCGAAGGACACCGCCTCGCTTGCATGCGGGGCAAAGTACATGGGGACGTTATCTACGCACCGGTCGATTGACTTGTGCGTGTGACCGTCCGCCAATGTGACTTGCGTAGGCTGGGRCTTCCTCCGGACGCGTGGGCCAAGGCCGGCGCGTACCATAAAGTCCTGGCTCATGTAGTTGCGAGATGCTCCGCAATCGATCAAAGCGTTGCAGGTCGCCTCTCCGATCTGAATGCGTACATACAACAATCGTGCGACGACGTCGTCATACCGTTGTGTCTTGAACTCGCAGTCGATCTTCTCAATGTAGGCGTGAAGGTCGACAACCTCTACTCCAGCGTCCATCAACGGAGTTGGTACTGCAGTGTGCAAGTAATCCTGCAATTGTGCCATGAGCACGTTGCAATGCGGTTTCGGCAATCGACCGGACCGGGGAAGGGGCATCCATTGGAAGTCCGCAAAAGTCAACGGGTCGAGCTCTTCAAGTCTTGACCATGACGTTGAATCCCCGGCGGTAGATGGCGGCGAAGCTGCCGAATCGGTTGCCGATGGTGATGAAACCATGCATGCGGTAGATTGTTGCACGTGGAGTGGTTGGTCCAACGGTGGGACCAAGTGGACAGCATAGTCCTCGTAAGTGTACCGAGGACTTGCGACATTCGCATCCTCCCCAAATGTGTAGGAGGCCGCTATCAAGGCGGCCGAATCTGGCGGAGTGAGAGGTGGAGTCCCCTCACCTCCTGCGCAACTCAGTTTTTCGAGTTGATACGAGGCCGAACATCCTCCTTGCCTTGATCAGGGCATTGGGAGGTCTTGTGCTTGGTGATGTTGCACCAATAGCAGCAGCCGTAGCGGCCGCGCCACTTGTATTCCGCCTCGGTCAAGTGAAACTTGACCCATGGTGCTGGCTGTCCGTTTTCGGTCGGCGATGCGGTTTTCGCCTTCCCGTTTCCTCCGGACTTGTTGTTGCTTCGCGGTTGGACAACAGCCATCTGATCTCCCTCACGTGACGCTTGGGTGGCTGCCGGGTCTTCCACAATGTTGTCTGATTGGACTGCAGCGACATGCTGAGGTCACGGACCAGTTCTCACCTTCTCCACATAGGTTGGCTGCCATGCTGATTTCTCATGTGCAGCTGGCCTGTTTATCTTGATGATCTCCCTCGCCTTGTTGATGATTTCGGCGAAGGTGTTGTACTGCTCGCGATCACCAAGTGCGAGGCTCAAAGCGGCGCATGACCGGTTGTAGAACTCCCGGCTCAGATGCGGAAATGGTAAGTCCAAATCGGGCGTCGCCACGATCTTCTGCCAATCCGTGAGCCAATCACGTGTTGCTGTGTTTCCTTGAGCCATCGTGAAGATGCGGTTGATGGCGAGCGCCGGGGCGTCGTCAACGATGAACCGCTTCTTCTATTCCTTTGTCAGATCCTCCCAGGAGACCTTGTGTAGGTCGAAGACCTGGACGCCGTGGACGGTTGCCATATGGTTGAGCCAGATCTGGCATCCTCCCTTGGCGTTAAGGAACAGCACGTCGATGAACAGATGTTTGGGGACCTCATGAATCCCCAACTCCGTTGTGAATCCTTGCCACCAGACGACCGGGTCTTGATGTGTGTAATCATCAAACTTCTCGATCCGGAACGTCGGCATCTTGTAATGCTTCGCCGTGGTGGTGCTGCGATCGGGGTCAGACGGCTGTTGTCGCTGCCTGATCTCGGTCTTCAGTGTGTCCAGCTGTTGGCTGATGGTGGCTGGCGCTGCGAAGGTGCTAATATCACCTAGCATTGCCACTACGTGATCGACGCGTGCCTCCAGTTGGTGGGCCGAGGGTGCATTGCTGGACTCGCCAGCCTCCGGTCTTGGTGCAGTTTGCTCCAAGTCCTGTGCACGGGAATCAAGTGCTCGTGCTGCATCCTCGTGCTGAGCCTTGTGGGTCTGCACGGCCCGCTGAAGATTCGCCAGCTCGGACTGCAGGTGGTTACAATCCTCCGGTGTTGCGTCATCGTGCTCCTTGGATGGTTCGACGTGCCAAAACTTGAGCCTTTCAATGCTGGTGGTTTCATGTCGCTGCAACAGATCCTGGGCTTCCTTGCGGCGTGCTTGGGTATCTGCGTCTGCTTCGGCCTGAAGCCGCTGCTTCTCAGCTGTTGCCGCCGCTTCAGCGTGTAGACGGAGAGCCTCGGCTGCCAGCTGGTGCTGTTCCTCAGCCGCGATTAGTGCGAACTGAGTTTCGAAACGCTGTCGGTACTCGGCAATGGACTCATTTGCTAGTTGGCCTGGCATGCCCAGAACTGAGCCCGTCATGGTGGCGGGGCACTGTTGACGTGGCATTGTGGCACTGTTGATGTGGCACTGTTGACGTGGCACTGTTGCTTACATGGCACTGCTGACGTGGCACTGTTGCTGACGTGGCACTGCTGTTGTGGCACTGCTGACGTGGCACTGTGACTGACGTGGCACTGCTCACGTGGCACTGTTGCTGACGTGGCACTGCTGACATGGCACTGCTAACGTGGCACTGCTAACGTGGCACTGCTGACGTGGCACTGTTGCTGACGTGGCACTGTACCAACTCGGAAATGCATGCAAAGGGGTGGGTGGGAGGGAAAACGCAGGTAGGGAACCAACCCAACAATACTTTCCTCCCGGCCCTAATCAACAGATAAAAAATAAAAAATAAAAGAGGACTACTTCCTTTTTTTTTTTCATATCTGTCGATCTGTTATGAGTGAGACATGTCAGAAGAGTACTATGAGCGAGATCTAGGCTAGGTTCCGCAAAGTTTCGGCTTTCACAAAATGCGATTTTGAAAAATAAAATAAAATAAAAAAAATTGCGGGATAGAATAGAGATGCGATTTTCAGAAAAAAACGAAATCCAGTTTTTGAGAATATGACAACCTCCAAATATGCCTAATGAAATGTTGGTAGGCTTCGCAAGATTTTGGTTTTCAGAAAAAAATTGCGAGATAGAATGGAAATTCGATTTTCAGAAAAGAATAAATCCGGTTTCCGAGAATATGACCACTTCTATCTTTATCCTAATGTGCCTAGAAAACGAAATGTTAACCTCAGAAATTTTCAGCTATGTATGCGAAATATCAGAGAAACGAAATGCTACTATCAAGAATTTTCAGATAAAACGAAATGCGATTATCAGAAATTTTAGGTATTTGTTGCGTGAAAATGAAATACTAATATCAGAAATTTTAGGTAAAACGAAATGCGATTATCAGAAATTTTCAGATAGTTGTTGTGAGAAAAGAAAAAAAAAATTTAAGAGATTTGACGAAGTCCTACGTGATTTACAAATGAGTAATCAATAGATCAAGCAAGCTGGCTACTTGATTGAGCGGGTCTTCTCAATGAGAGGTCCGCTCCGATACCAAACTGTTGCATACTGTAACAGTGCAGACCAGAACAAGAACCGACCTCTCAATACAAAGTACAAGATAGCGTAGCGGAAGACTGAGATACCAATGATCCGAACAATCAATATTGCAATGCAGCCCCGAACATACATCATCATCATCATTCCATGGTGTGAAGGGGTCTGGCGCTCACACATGAAGAATGCGCCAGCCCCAACCATACACAGACGAAGAAGAGGGGGGTTAGACGAAGAAGAGGGGAATATGGGAATGTCGTCAACACCAAGTCTTCGACACAGGCCCAAATAGTCCCTCGTCAGAATGTCTGAATCCCAATGTCGTGTTTGGATTCAATGTCGTCAAGTCTCAAGTCACAACTCTCTCTCTTTGTAGTAGTCCGCTGATACTGAGAAGTCAGGTGGTGAGAGGGGAAGAAGAGATGGTGGACTTAGAAGAGGAAGAAGAAAAACTCTCTCTCTCTCTCTCTCGGTCCGGTACTAACCCGTGAAGTTGGCGCGTTGATGCAGGTACCTCGAAGATGGAGCTGGAGCTATGGCACCACAGGTAAGTCCCACTGGCCTCCGCCAGTCATCTCTCCCAACTCTACTACTACCACCTACTAGCGCCCAACGCTGCTGAAGACTACTTCTGCCTACTGTCCAACTTCCTACCCATGAAGTGCATGGGAACTCCCTATGTACTTCTCGGCCTGCCTCCTGACTGCAGGGTGAGGCAGTCTAGGAGGCTGCTCTTGCCAATGCCGCAGGGAGTCAGGGGCTGCCGCTGCAGCTCCTGCTTGAGACTGTCGTGGGAACAGGCTAAAGATAGTCTGTTCCCGGAACCCTGGTTTTGTGCCTGAGTATTAGGGTAGGTTGATCTTATGAGGGCCCGAAAGTGGCCCTCGGTTTCAGGCTGAAAAGCCTCAGGGCTGAAAAGCCCTGTTTTAGGCTAAAAACGAGATAGGGTTTGCAGACCCTCGTTTTCAGTTTTCAGGCTGAAACGACAGGGGCCTGTATGCCCTTATTTCTAGGCTTTTAGGCTGAGAATGCGGGACGGGCCCTGCAGGCTCGTGTGGCTACGCAGTATGCCACACCCATACATGCCGCACAAACTTAACAAGGAGGGGAGAGGAGACAAAGTACACAATGCACACAAACTGAGTAAGCAGCGGAATGTTCCGGAACCCACTATGACAGGTGTGGAGATAGCATTGGGTGTTTGCACCGTGTTTCTCACTCTCAGATAGTACTCCCAAGACTCCCAAGACTCCCAAGACTCCCAATAAGTGTCAACAACCAATCACAATAAGATACCTTCGAGGCTGCGAGGGTAACAAAAGAATAGTACAACATTGAGCTGATGTGAAGCAATTTTCTAACGGCCACTGCCTGCCCGGCTATACGCTCTCATGCTACGGGCCTAGGCCACAGGGCCTCCCGTCCTAGTGATAGCCCGGGCCTGCTTTTCGGACAACTCAAGTATCTGATAAATCTCTCTCTCTCTCTCTCTCTCTCTCTCTCTCTCTCTCTCTCTCTCTCTCTC